TGTGACCTGCCCGGATCAGCAGCCACTGCCTCTCTCCTCAGTGCTCTGCCTGTCTCATCTCCTGAGCCTGTAATTTTCTGGGGCAGTGGCTCAGTTCCTGTGCTTGAGCTCTCCTGTCATCCAGCCCCTGAGGAAGGGGAATTCCTCTGGAATGGAGATGACGGAGATGAGCTTTTATATTTCATAAAAAAGAAAAGCCTGTGCTGGACAACGAGGTGCTGGAACAAAGAATCCTCTCTTCTTAAATGGGACTTGACAGAGTGCTGATGCCACTTCACTTAGTTAATGGAGGGAGCCATCTAATACAGGCTAAATGCAGAGCTGCCTAAAGGAACCTGGCATTTGGAGGGCTGGAGAGCTTGAAATATAAATGAATGGGACAAGCCCAGGCTCTGTTTCCCAAGGAATCGATTACCAGGGATCCTCTGACAACTGTGAAGGTCTTACTTGCAGGAGCAGCAAAGCTATTTTTGTTGGAAACTGGGATATTTGTTGCTGGGGATTAAACACATCTTTAAAGCACCAAGGAGACACCAAGGAATGCTGTGGATTCCAGAGGGTCAGAAAGGCTGAAGTGATTTTCCTCTCTGTAAAGCCACTGAGGAGACTGATGGTAGTGCTGGGAACAATTTGAGTTCTGTTGAGTTGTACCCACAGCCAGAACAGTTTGACAAAATGATCCATTGTGTATTAAATCTAGAGATTCAGACAGTGTGAAAAATGCATGGGACACAGCATTTTGGAATAAGAGTGAGGCTGGACTGAAGTGCCCTTTTTCTTTCCAACTGTAAAAAGAAATAAGGATCTGTAACAGAAAATGTCTTGAGTGGAGATGAATGGAGTATAAGGACTGCTGATGAATTTTTCACCTCTGGAATGTTCTCCATGGCATTTATGAGCTGGTTTTCCAACAGAGTAAGTGTCTGAGCTACCACAGGAAGCACAAACGTCCCTGTTTAGGCATCACTGAAATCCTGGAGACAGGTCCAGGGCTGACTTCACTGTGGAGACCCCATTTCCTTCTCCCCTCTAAGGCAGCTCCTTCCAGGTGAGATCAGAAGCCTCTTCACAGGGAATGGAGGAAGCTCCTGCATTTGTTCAGAGGATGAATTCCTTTCTCATCCCCATCCCTTCAGCATTTTTCACGAGCTCCAGATCCACTACAACATTGGTTTGAGCACTGCTGACATCTGATATCTCTGACTTCCCTTCCCATCCCATCTGCCAGGCATTTCATTCTTCTGATGAAACAGCTCTCCAATTGCAAAGACAGACAAAATACAGCCTAAAATCACAACAATCAAGTGCTGTGGCTGTTACATGGAACTTTATTGGACAAGAAAAGAAGACTGGTTGTGTATCAGAATATCACATTAAAGATCAGTCAGGTTTCCAATGGAATGCCAATTGGCACCAATTAATGTGGGATCTTCTCCTGCATGGTGTGGTTACCCTGAAGTGTCTCTGTTTCCACCAGCTGGGTTTATTTCTGGGTTTTTATTGCTTTATTTGGGGATTACTTGGTAAAGAAGAAGCGTCTCAGGAAATGTCATCATGTGCCATGTGCTGCACTGATGTCAGCTGAGGAAATCAGTGTCAGGAGCAGGAAAAGCCAAAGATGAATGGATCTCTGGGTTCAAAATAGGAAACAGCTTGAAGTTCCTTTGGGGGGAAACATAAAGCTCATTCATCAGCAATGACACAGTTCCACCTCTGGCACAGAGAGAGGACTCTGCTGATGGACAGACACCCCTCACATCCACGCCAGTGCTCCTGGGAATCCAGGGGTGCCAAGGAGCTGCCCTGAAACAGTGGCAGTTTTGCCTGGTGAGCTGTAATCATGATCTGTGTGTGGCTGAGAGGTGTCACATGGAAATCTGCATTGACTGTGCTCGTGAGTGGATTTCATTCCCTGAGAGGTGTGTGTCTCCTTGTCTCACCCCAGTGGATATCAAAGGTGAGCCACTGAAGAGCAGGATCTTGCCTGGATGATGCAGTGTTCATTTATTCACACTTTGATGTGAGGGCCCTGTCTGATCAAGCCCCCATCAGGATTTCTCAGTCAGGTGTGTCTGGGTTTCTTTGGTTTTTCCTGCTGTTTGGCAGGAGTGTGCACCCATCTTGTTCACAGTCTCATACACGGAATTTTGTGAGGTTTCTTCCCAGTCACACTCAGGACAGGACAGAAGTTTGTGGTGCCCTGTTGAGAACATCTCCAATTGCTCAATATGAAATGGTCAGTAGTTTTCCAAGAGCCTTTATTTTCTGTTCCATTACTCCAAGTACCTTCCCTGTCCTCCCTTGGGGCCCAGCTAGCAGCCTGGCTCCTACCTCCTGCTATTCTGAAATTTCTTTATTTATCTTAGACTCTGTCATTTTGCTGAAACATTGATATTTTCCAGCAATCAGCTTATTACATGGAGATGCCTATTAGCTTTCTGAAGTCATATGTCAGTGAAACTCAAAACTGTTTAGTTTAACTTGACAAGCCCTATAGTGATATTGGAAAATTATTTTCTTCTTCAGAGTCATGTTTATGTTCTTTTCCAATGAGCTGGCTGTTTTATTGCAAAAGAAACTGTAAAAGAGGTAATTTTAACTAGGCACAAAATATATTCTGTTCTGTAATGTATCCATAACCTTCTAAAAGATCCTAATTAACTTCCTTATGTCAGCATAGGAAGCTCTATTGCAGTTGTAGTTGCCAAACATTTCTTTCTTTTTAATAGAAATTATCCCTTTCTAAGACCTAGGGGCATCATCATTCCCAAAACAAGCTTTTCATCTGAGGGTATCAGAAACACCAGGAGATTAATGGAAGTCTGGAGTTCAGCAGGGCAGAATTTCTGTCTGTTATCCTGTTTGTCTGCAAAGATAACAATCCTAATGGCACGTGGGTGACACGGAGCACTCAGTGAGTAAAGTGGAATGGCCAGGTTGGCTCCTGAGCTGCTGAAATGGGGAGTTTCTGCTGGACAAAGGTATCAGTCTGAGGGGAGAAGCTGTTTTACACCGTGTTTGTGACATGGATTCAATGTAATTCAATGTGAACATGACAGATGTGGGGACATTGTTCCCTGTCAGGGTTGGGAGGTGCTGGCAGGGGCTGCCCAGAGAATCCATGGATGGAGCAGCCACAGGAGGTGTCCAAGGCCAGGCTGATGGGGCTTGGGGCACCCAGGGCTAGTGCAAGGTGCCCCTGGAGGTGGGATGAAATGCTCTCCAAGTCCTTTTCCAGCCCAGACTCTTCCTTGGCTCTGGTTCCATCTCAGCCCAGAGCAGTCACAGCAGGATGATACCTTGGGTTTGAGTTGTTCTGTTCTCTTTTGGTGTGCAGCTTTAGCTTTATATGAAATGTTACTGGAATATTTCACAGGGTGGTGGAAACAAAACAATCCTGTTCTAGCTGGAGGCTCCAGGACAATCTCCTCAAACTTCAGGCCCAAAGCATGAACAATGTGAAAAGAGGAAGGTGGAAAAGCAAGCAAGGAGGATGAAACTTCATCATTTGAAGCTGTTAATTGGACAGTTAACTCCTGTATGCAAATGGACTAAAACTTATAAAAATGTGAGATCTCATGCCCAAGCTCTTTTGCTTCCACTTGGAGCCATCTGGGCACTGCCAGGGTGTGGCCTTTGAGGGCCCCTCAATAAATCTGCACTTTATTCCTCTGAACTCCCTCTGGCCTCTGCCCCAGCTCCTCGAGGCACCAAGGACACTGCGCCATCAGCCAGGCCCTGGTGTCACTTGGTCCCTCATCCGTGAGGCAAACTGCAAACATTGCTCAGCAGAAATGGAATTGAGTTCTGCCAGAGAAAAACAGCAATTACCTGCTGGAATTTGTGCTGCATGGGGCTGTTTTTTCTCACTGTCTGGGTGTTCTGCAAAAGGAGCGGGTCTGCAAAGCAGGGCCCAACCTGCACTCAGCACTGCGAATTCCAAAGAGGAATATTTTCAGCCTGCTGATTTAAAATTATTATTTAAATAATATGTTTATCACAATATAATATAATATAATATAATATAATATAATATAATATAATATAATATAATATAATATAATATAATATAATATGTTTATCATAATATAATATAATATTGAAAATTTTTTACAGTCCTGTTGATTTAAAATAAAAACTGTCTTTGCTTTAATCATGCAGTTTCCCAGCTCAGCTTTGATGAATTGCAGAAGCAAGCTCTTATCGAGTAACAGTGGGGTTTTTTTTTCTTTTAGTCTTTTTTTTTTTTCCTGAAAAGAGGAGGAAGTTTGCCATTCTGCAGAGCAAGATGAATAAATTTTGCCATTTGAGGCTGAATTTTCCAAGAAGGATTAGGATCTTTTGCAGTCCTGCAAATGCAGGATACTACTTGCAAACCCAGCATTTCTTTAGGCTCATAATCATCATTTGCATTATAACTCCCTAAGCAAAAGAGGGAAAATGAATTTCAAATGTGAACACTTCTAATCCTCAACAGCAGCTACAAATCGAAGTGAAAAAATGAAAATTCCTGTACTCATAGTCAGAAATCATTATTATTATTGTTACTGTTATTAATTGGTTGAGCTCAATTTCACAGTGAACTGCTGTATTTCAATTCTGTGAGATAAAAAGTGAACACAATCTTCTGGTTGAGTCACAGATGTGCTGAAATGTCACCAGTGTGACCGGAGAGAGGTTTTCATCTCCTATAACAGCCTTCCTTTTGTCTCCATGTGTTTTTTCTCCAGCTATCCATTCCCCATGGTCTTCAGCAGCTGCAGCAGGAAGGACCTGGAAAACAGCCTGGAGAAAGGAGTGGGGATGTGCCTGTTTAACCTGCCTGAGGTGAAGGAGTCCTTTGGTGGCCAGAAGTGTGGGAATGGCTACGTGGAGGATGGAGAGGAGTGTGACTGTGGGGAGCCCGAGGTAAGGCAGTGTGGGGGTGT